AGAGGAGGAAGCTTCTGTTACCACAGCTAGAGGAGAAAGCTTCTGTTACCACAGCTAGAGGAGAAAGCTTCTGTTACCACAGCTAGAGGAGAAAGCTTCTGTTACCACAGCTAGAGGAGGAAGCTTCTGTTACCACAGCTAGAGGAGGAAGCTTCTGTTACCACAGCTAGAGGAGAAAGCTTCTGTTACCACAGCTAGAGGAGAAAGCTTCTGTTACCACAGCTAGAGGAGAAAGCTTCTGTTACCACAGCTAGAGGAGGAAGCTTCTGTTATCACAGCTAGAGGAGGAAGCTTCTCTCGCCACAGCTAGAGGAGGAAGTTTCTCTCGCCACAGTTAGAGATTCAAGCTTCTGCTGCCACAGGTATAGAGAAGCAAGCGCAGTGCCGACGAGAACCAGGCTTCACTGCTGCTGTCGCGTCAAATGCGTTATCAGTGACTTATCACTAGACAAGGACACGTACGTGACTCGCTGAAGCGGCAGCAAACACAGGCTCTAAGTGAGGTCCGCGCGCCTCTAAAAGCTTTATGCTCAGAGTAAACAGGCGGGACAAATACGCGCGCACGTGCAGGAAGCACGCAACCCGCGAGGATGCCTACCGACGGCTTACATCGTACAACCTTCAATCTGCGCTTCGCTCTCCCGCACGCTCTCTTTATCTCTCTTCCACTCCGCTTCTCCCCCCTCTCTCTCTTTCTTATATATATATATATATATATATACATATATATATATATAATACACAGTAAATACAAGCGGACACGCATATCAATCTATCTATTTTAGCTTTTCTCCCTCTCCTTCACGCACCACTGTCAATTTACGCTCTAACCCCTTTCTCTTCTTCATCTACCTCTATAGGTTCACGAATATATTTGCACTCAGGGAAGCGTGTGCTTTGTTTTAGGCAGATGACTGCTTTTAAGGTGGTCGTAGTATATCCGCTCGTAAAGTATCAAGAAAATGTTTAGCAGGAACAGGGGTTGACGAAAAGTTGTTAGTGTATCGGGAATATATAGAGGAAGGGATAGGCAGAGAGATAGCAAAAAAATAATATACTTTCCTGAAGAGAAGTTTGGAAATATTACGATACATAAAAATTTCATAACTGCTTTAATCAATTACCACTCGATTCGCATACGACTTCTACTCAGGCATTTGGGCCGTTTCAATCATAGAATGATGGTAAATACACACAAGATGTATTTGCTACCAAAGTCTTAATGTTCATGCATTTATATAATTAAATTATTTATATATTAATAATTCCTCGTAAATGCTATTCAAATGCTCTTCTGTAACAAAGAATTTTACCTCACGCACGCCACTCTGCACACACTGACGGGAAGATAGAGTACAGAACTCTTACACCACAGACACGCAAAAACTCACAGAATCTACCTTCCTGTGTGTTTGTCTATAGTGGCGTGCTTACGGTGAGATTGTGTGCTGCAGAGGAGTGTTTGAATGTGATTTACAAAGAATTATTAGGCGATAGATTGTAGATCAACATAAAGACTTTGGTAGTGAATATTATATATATATATATATATATATATATATATATATACGTTGTTTGTTTGCTCTTACTCTCACTCTCACACTCACTCTTACACTGTTTCTCGTCCTGCGCTTTCTTTCTTCCTCTGTTTCTATAAATGAAATAAGCATCTATGGAATTCACCCGTCGTATATATGTTATGTATTCCTGTATTATAGATGCCCTATACTAGGCTGCTACAGGATATCATTGGCAACGCGTTGATAGTCATAATTCCATTATACCGCTATAGTTTCCTAAGCGGCCACCAAACTAATGCCATAGCAACAGCATTAATTGTCGCTAAATTATCACACAGTATTCGATTACGAAAATGTAGTTTCTAATATAAGCCCCCTACAACGCGCGGTTTTCTGTCGTTTTCACACAAAATAAACCCGCGGTAGGGCAGCGAAAATCATCATCAAGCAACCCATGTAGAAACCGACATGTAAACATGCTGTACGGGTCAATCGGATACTTTGGAGTAGACAAATCGTCGGTACATGGTCTATATAATATACTGAAAGTAGCTGCTGGGACTTGCGTCGCATTACATGAAAATTGATAAACATTTTATATGAATATATACGCGCGTAGAGTCGTGACTAACTTACCGTACTGCATTATTCCGTATGAGCATTGGGTCGCATCACTTCCAGTTTCTTGTTTTATTCTCTGCATATCAACAGTCCAGGATGGCGCATACAGGAAATAGTCAATGCAATATATATACAAATATATCTATATATCTGTATATATAATGTGTGTGTATGCGAAACTGATGTCAACGTATGCATTCACTACACGCTTATCGAAAATTTTATGTCCGTAAAACTTACAAATATATATTTTTACATGTATATACATATGAATATGAATCGACTGTCGCCGTTTTTCGTGCTGCTTGGACCGGACTCACGCCGAAAATCACATGCCACTATAGAGTGTGACGACGGTCACCTTGTCAGTCTCAAACTATGCTACACCCCTGCCGGTTCCACACGGTGAACGCTCCTGTTTGAGAGAGGTAAAAGTCAGCGTCCGGGACGCGAGAGCGTGGACAAGTATTTACAGTGTCATGTACCGCTAGGGTAGAGAAGCTGTCTGTCCAGCACCGACCGACTTACTGACCACGTCCGTATACACAGTCCGATGCGCTCTATATATGTTTATGTACGTATATATAATATATATATATATATATATACGTCGTTTGTTTGTAGTAGTAGTCCTGTCCCCTTCTGTGCTGTCGACGCGTGTGTGTGTGCTTCGTTCTGGCGAGATGTCAACGTCGATCGCGTGACCGGTCTCCTCTCTGTTGCGTAACGTAGCAAGACGTATACCTTCTCCCGTAGCTCCTTTCTTTCGCTCGCTCTCCTCTCCTCAGTGTTACTTTTTTGCTAGGCTTCACCCTCAGTCTTTAACAGCAGCAACAACAGCAGCAGTAACAACAGCGTCGTCGACAACGACGATGACGACGACGACGACCGTGGCGGCAGCGACGATGATGATGACTACGGCAGTGCGCTGATCGGCGCGGCTCGGAACTCGGCAATTCGTATCGGACTTCCGCAACTGATTTACTTCCCGCTTATCGGCGGCCGCATCTATATACCTGCGACTATCGAGCCCGCATGCGGATGCTGCCTGCCGTCCGGCCAATCAACTAGCTCGGATGCTGCTGCTGCGGCAGCGGCGGAGGCGGCGGTGGCGGCAGCCGATCGATGGCAGCGGAAGGTGTGAACGTTGCCGTGGCCGCCGGCGGTCGGCCGAGGCGTGAGAGCAGGCAGCCTGGGCAGCGGCCCGACCGTCATGGCCACGCCCCGCGCCTGCTGATTGGTCGCCGCGCGTGGTCGGGCGTGTGCTAGCTTCTTCTGCTTCACGTCTTCCTTCTACGTATGCGAAGTCGCGGTGCGGCGCGTGAGCGGGATGCTGCGTGTGCGTGCGTACGTGCGTGCATGTGCGCGTGTGCGTGCGTGCATGTACGCGTCTGCGTGCGTGGATGTGCGCATCTGCGTGCGTGGATGTGCGCGTCTGCGTGCGTGGATGTGCGCGTCTGCGTGCGTGG